CTACATAATTCGTGGTCTCCATAATTGTCACGGGAGGTACGTATTTTTGCAGTTTTTGTTTTGCAGAATCTGCGAGAGGCCGCTGTGTGTGCTTTTTTTTTTCTGAATCTCAAATGTCTCGCGAGTGCCATTCGTGCCCACACTGTTCTCACATGAACCCACCAGAGGCCGCAGTAGACCGACCGTCTGTCCGACTGACTGAATGATTGACTGGGCGACCGGCCAATTGACTGACCCACCCTCCTCCTTCCCTAAACCCAACCAACGATTTACAAAAGCCGTCCAGAAAACGAAAAGCCCTCGTCTGATTTTTACTACATTTTAGTATTTTACCACATTCTCTCACCCTGTTGTTCACTCGTTCATTTTATTTTTTGGATTCTGTTTTTGTCTTACCTGATTTCTGGAACCGCTCTTCCACAGATTTAAACCTGGTCGTCGTTGTGGTCATCTCTTTTCTGCGTCTCAAGTCCGCCGACGTACACGACAAGCTTACTGGACAAACTGGTTATGGCAGAAAAGCCCTCCACACTAGGTAAGCGGTCAGCCCCTTATTGTTTGCTTAAAAAAATGAAATGCAGCCATACGTACAGGAGGTACATATTTTTGCAGCTTTTGTTTTTGTGAATCTGCGGGAGGCCACTGTGTGTTTATTTATTTATTTATTTATTTCCCCGAATCTCAAATGTCTCACGAGTACCGTTCGTGCCCGTGCTGTTCTCGCGTGAACCCACCAGAGGCCACTGTCGACCGACCGTCTGTCCGACTGACTGAACATTAATTGTGCTGTGGTGACCCCGGATTAATAAAGGGACTAAGCCGACAATAAAATGAATGTAAGTAACGCAGTTACATTGACTTTAGTAACTAATCAAATGACTCAAATTTAAAATGTAATTCATTAGTTTACTGTGTTCCACCAAAATTGTCATTATAATACAGTAATGCGTCACTGTGGAATGCCTTACACTCAACTCTGCAAATTACATACCAAATTTGAAGTTAATATCTCAAAAAATGAGCTTTCCGTAAGATTTTCTTTGGCCACAATACCAGACATCAGCACCAGTTTACAGTGATGACCATATAAGGGCGCCCCCTATGTTTTAAGGAATATGAACCAATTTTTTTCATACTTTTTGACTTTTATTTGTGAAGTAGACATCAAATTCTAAGGTAGTTCGTGAAGTTTGGTGGTAATCGAATTAAATGTAGCCTCTAAAAACATCTAAAAAATATGTACATATGGATTGCTGTAGCAAAGTAATGCTTTACAACTCTGGAGAGAATTCTTGTCGTAAATTAATGTACAGCTGTTGCTCAGTAATATCTATCAAACATCAGTCACTACATTTGAAAACTTGAAATGTTAAGCTTTCAAATGAAATATAGTTTGCCATGGTTGCTTAATGCTTAGACTACAATATTATGCTTCAAATAGGTAACAGTAATGGGTCCCACAGGTTATAGGGTGGCATTAAACGTGTTTTAATCTGTTGCATTAAACAAAAAACAAAAGCACCCAATCAAATAATAGTCAAATATGTATTCAGAAATCTTAGACCTTTCCAACAACACTGTCATGATTAGATTAGGATTTGATTGCAAAATCAGCGACGTAAACTAGTGCTAGTAAATGCCTTTCTGTGCTATAGTGATCCCCAGTGTGAGATTATCATTGTTTTAAAGATTCGCCAGTACACCTTTGTTGATGACGGTGTGGACCTGCTGTTACAGGCCTGATCGGAGATGAACAGGAATGTTTAATGCCTTTTAATAACCTCAGTGTTTTCAATGCAGTTCTCACTCCTCCTACAAATGGGCTGCTCCAGACTGATGACGCAGTATTTCACTAGAAGGAGGTCAGCTATAATTCACTAATAATTCTTAAAGCCGTTTACACTGAATATTAATATTAATAATGCATCCCAGATAATTATACAAGACCATTTTTGACACTTGAAGGAACAAGTTAATTTTTTAAGATTAATTGGTCACACTTTACAATAAGGTTCATTAGTAAATGTTAATTAATGCATTTACTAACATGAACAAACAATGAACAATACATTTACGACTGTATTTGTTCATGTTAGTAAACGTTAGTTAATGAATATACAGTAGTTCATTGTTAGTTCATGTTAACTCACGGTGCATTAACTAATGTTAATAAGCACAGACCTAGATGTTAATAATGCATTAGTAAATGTTTAATTAAGATTAATAAATGCTGTACATGTGTTGTTCATGTTACTAAATGAATTAACTAATGAACCTTGTTGTAAAGTGCTACCGATTAATTTTATTTGTTTATTTTTTTTATTAATAATTATTTTAAAAATTCACATATATATATTTATACCACAGTTCTGTCTGGTTCTCGAATCTGATTGACTGATATCTATGAAATATTAAAGTAATATCAGCACTCGTACAGGCTCTTCACTCTTGTATTACTCCGCCCGCACGAGAGGCAAGCAGAATACTACAGTTTGACAAATATTGCTGCTGTTGGACAACATAATGTACTTTTGAGGCTTTATAGGTGAGAATGTAGATGTTTTGATTGCAACTATGGCGTTCATTTATAAGGATAGTGCCTGTTTTTAAATATTTATACTTTTAGAGATTCAGCGCATTGGCGGCCATCAGACTGTCATGCTAAGCAGAGGAATGACTGTGATGTTCCACCACAAGATGACGACAGAGATCGCATAATAAGTCCTTAGGGGAGAAAAACAGCATTTTTTTCAGTGTACGTTTTAAAGTACAGCTGATCTAATCATTACAGAACAGGTAAGTGACTTTCTAAGTCGATCTCTCTCTTTTGTATGTTGTAGTGCTGCATTTATACCACAGTAATCTGCTAGTGTTTGCTTTGGCTTTTTCAGGGTTAAATATTGTGATCTCATTGCCACAGAAAAAACTGGGAAATCTCTGAAGACTGATGCCATTTCATGCTGTTCAGCCTTATAATCTTAAAATGTGAGCAAAATCAGCTGTTTTGTCTTTACTTTAGACATTACGCTAGAGAATCATTCAAACACTAGCTCAAAAGTGACGTTGATGAATGAACAACAGTTTCTGCTGTTCTGACATCAGCTGCAGATGTGAATGAATAGCTGAAAAAGGTAGTTGCTTTTACATAAGAGTTTTTGAGATTATTATGCAGTCGAACTGTTGTACAAACACAATATCACACTTGTAGCAGTGGTATATGGTTGTATATCGTCACTGGTGGGACACTAAGGCACTCAGCCTGTGGCTTGAAGCTAACGCACACCTTTTAATGTGCTTCAAGATCAAAAGTGAATGATAAATAAAAAGGCCAAATATGATTAACAACATTTAAACAAAATAAAAGGTAATTAGAAATAGTTTTGAAAGAAAACACCTGACACACCTGAAACACCTGAAGACACCTGGAAGGAAAAGTCTAAAAACTAATTGTAATTTTTTTTTCCCTGAATGAAAGTGATTTATTTATTTATTCATTTATTTATATAGTACTTCTTTTAATTATTAACTTTTTTGTTTAAGTCTCCCAAAAAAGCATAAACTATTTTTTTTCACTTACTAAAAACCATGCATTTTTATTTTATTTTATTACTTAAGTTATTTTTGTTTACGTCTCTGAAAAGAACATACATTTTTATTATTTTTAATTGTTATATATATATATATATATATATATATATATATATATATATATATATTACATACACACACTACATACACACACACACACACAGTGCTCAGCATAATTGAGTACAGCACATTTTAAAAATGAATATTTTCCTCCATTTCTCAGTGAATATGTAATGTATTTTGGTGCATTTATACAAAACAGATCTATTAGATGGATATATTAATTAAAATAATATTTTAGTTACAGAAAATATTAAGAAATTGAAAGAGAACACAATTGAATTTAAGGAAAATATTGGAAAAATAATTACAACCCTCAAAATTTTATACACATTTTTATAATACATTTTTCAATTTATTTGCTTCTTGATTTTTCCTCTTTTCTAAATTTGTATTTATTATTTTTCTATAACATAAACATTTGGCTGTACTAGTTTTTGGACCGTTATCGTAAGTTATTTTGTTAGAGAAGCTCCAGATTTGGCTTCAGCACTGACTAATCTAATATGCACAAGTATAATATTGCAGAGCTTCATGTTAAAATTATGAATTTAAAAAATAGTGATGGGTGTAGTTATACATGCTGAACACTGTATATGTATAGATATGTGTGTATATGTATATGTAAATGTATATTATGTTTAGAAATGTTGAAATAAATCTTCTCTCTGTTAAACAAAAAACAAGGAAAAAATAAACGGGGGCTATTAATTCTGACTTCAACTGTATATACAGTATAAAGTAACATTTAAGGTATTTCTTCTAGATCAAACTACAGCTGATCAAATCATTACAAAACAGGTAAGTGACTTTCTAAGTCGATCTCTCTCTTTTTATGTTGTAGTGCTGTATTTATACCACAGTAATCCGTTAGTGTTTGCTTTGCTTTGCTTTGGCTTTTTGGGGGTTTAATTATTGTGATCTCCCGATTGCAACAGAGAAATACTGGGAAATCTGTGTAGACTGATGCCATTTCATGCTGTTTAGCCTTATAATCTTAAAATGTGAGCAAAATTAGCTCTTTTGTCATTACTTTAGATATTACGCAAGAGAATCATTCAAACACTAGCTCTAAAGTGATGTTGGTGAAGTAGCCGCGGTTTCTGCTGTTCTGACGGAGCTGGTCCTAGGTTGTGGAATGCTCTGCTCCTCTGTATTAGATCTGTTTCATCCCTGTCTGTTTTTAAATCTAGTTTGAAAACTTACCTCATTGATTTGGCATTTTATTAGTGAAAATTGTCTATTTTAGCTTTAATTCTATATATACATATTTGTTTAACAGAGCTGATTAATACACTCCTGCATGACAAGGATTAAACAAACAAACACTCAATAACTCCAAGCAGACAGAGTTGATTTAAAGGTGTTTTAATGTAATGATTTGGATGATTGTGAGTGTTTGTAGTGGCTTTCCTCACAATCTCAGACTATATTAATCTCATCACTTCTTCCCCTTCTGCTGGTCACATGCGGGTTTTTGGCCACATCCGCCTTTTCCTTGCTCTCCACCAGGACCGTGTTTGTGTCCGTGTTCATGTCCATGTCCGTGTTCGTGACCTTTTCCGTGTTCATGACCTTTTCCGTGACCCTTTCCATGCTTTTTATAACAACAAAAAATGCACTTTAATTTAGATTCCTCACTTATGTTGCTAAATGAGTTTTCATTAGAATTAAAAACACATGTCTGTCTTTACTGCTGCTAAAAAAAGGCGATTTTACAGTAATGGTTCACTCCTGACATTGATCTTAAAAGATTTTGGCTGCTCTCCTATCAGAATATTGGAATAATATAAGGATTATGTATAAATATTTAATAATATAAAGATTAATTGGGCTTGAAGACATACTGCGACTTACTGGAGTAAAATACCCTTTACAAAGAAATATTTTGGATGAAAAATATGTCATTACTTGCTGCTAAATGTACGGTGTGGATCTTTTAAACTGTGTGTGTGTATGCATATGTGTTAATATATATATATATATATATATATATATATATATATATATAAGAGTTCAGTCTGGTTTATGAATCTGATTGGCTGATCGTATGATACAGTATTATGTAATAAAAGACACTAGTACAGCCTCCTCACCCTTGTGTATTACTCCGCCCACATACAGTGACAGCAGATCAATAAACTCACTACAGTTTGGCAAATATTGCAGCTGTTGGACAACATCATGTATTTTTGAGGCTTTTTAGACAAGAATGTAGTTGTTAAGATTGCAGCTATGCAGTTTATTTATAAGGATAGTGCTTATTTTAAATCTTTATAATTTCAGAGAGACATTGCGTCGGCGGCCATCAGCCTGCCATACTGAGCAGAGCAAAGACAGTTGACATTCCACCACAAGATGGCGACAGAGACTGCATAATAAGTCCTCCTTAGGGGAGAAAAACTCAAACTACAGCTGATCAAATCATTACAAAACAGGTAAGTGACTTTCTAAGTCGATGTTTCTCTTTTTATGTTGTAGTGCTGTATTTATACCACTGTAATCTGTTAGTGTTTGCTTTGCTTTGGCTTTTTCGGGTTTAATTATTGTGATCTCCCGATTGCAACAGAGAAATATTGGGAAAACTCTGTAGACTGATGGCATTTCATGCTGATCAGACTTATAATCTTAAAATGTGAGCAAAATCAGCAGTTTTGTCTTCAATTTAGACATTACCCTAGAGAATCATTCAAACACTAGCGCTACAGTGACGTTAGTTAAGTAGCAGCGGTTTCTGCTGTTCTGACGTCAGCTGCAGATGTGAATGAACAGAGGAAGAAAGTAATTCCTCATACAAAATAGTTTTTGAGACTGTGTTTGATTTTTTTTTATATACACGGTTATACCATCAAACTGTTGCATGAACGCAATATCACACGAGTAGCAGTGCGCTTAAGCTGTATATCCTCATTAAATATCTGTACTGGTGTTCTTGCTTTGTTATGCTAAGAAATAAATTAGTTTTGCTAATCGCAAAACAACATAACTAAAAACTAAAAATAAAATAAATAAATAAACAACACTTAAAATAATGAATGACAATCTCCAGTATATGTGCATCTGAATTCAAGAGTCATTGGATTACCTGGCCTTCTCCCTGAGAGATAGAAAACACAAACATATGATCAGCATCAAATGAATCAGTTCAGTAACACTTTAGATTAGCTCACAGTTCATGTTATCAAATACTGGCTCATTACCTGCCTATTCTTAAAATATTAACTGTTCATTAGTAGTTATAAAGTATGATATTATTCTGCATCCCTAATCCTACACTGTAGAAATATCCCTAAATTAGCAGCCTTCTGTATTTTGTGGTTCGTGTTTTTATTTTTTCCCCGTTTATTTCTGCCTTTGGATTGCGTTATGAGATGTTGATCTTTCTTCTGACAACTATTAAACTAATCAAATGGCCTGGCACCTTCTTGTCTCTGGGACATGTTGATTGAGCATCAGCCTGGTCGGTCTGGACTGGTTTTCATCCCCAGGTTCTCTGTTTTGATTCATACTGTGCAGCACATTGGTCAACCTCTGGTTGTGTTAAATAGTGCTATATAAATAAATTTTACATTGACAAACTAAAAACATTGGAAAAAGTGACTTTAATTTTGGTTTTTAATAGTTTTAGGGTTTTGTTGTTTGGGTTAGTGTTGTATATAACGCTATAAAACTTTGTCATAAACTGCAGCACGTTTTCTGTTATCGTACAGAATTATTTCCCCACATATGATGTCTTATACATTATATTATTCACTAAAATATCAATAAAAGTCACTTTGTTAAACTGCAGAGTTGAATTTTCAACATTAAACGTCAACAGAGCAGAGATCAGCATCCCATAATGCAACTCACAACAGCAAATAAACAATTACCAGACATTTTGGTACAGTGTACTCAATACCTAGACTTAACTTCTTTCATACTAACTGTGAATAAGAAAGTTATTAGTAGTTTACCAAGCTAATGGTTTGTTAATACTGTAAACTGTGACCTAAACTAAAGTATTTTACCATCATTTCTATTGGTGTAGAATTGTAGTGTAAAAAAAAACTACTATCTGAAATGTGTGTTTGTCATACCTGAGTGCAGGGTTTCTGGTCGCTAGCACACTGCTGCAAATATACAGTAGGAGTCTTTTAATTTACAGTATATGATTTGTTAAGGTAAGCATACTAGGTCACACTTTATTTTGATGGTCTGTTTGTTGAATTTTAGTTAAACTGCAGCTACATGCCAACTAACTCTCATTAGATTATAAGTAGACTATTAGGGTTAGTGTAAGTTGACATGTACTTGCAAAGTTTCTTATAGTCAGTTAAATGTCTGTTGAAGGAGCAGAATCAGCAGATATTAAGCAGACAGTCTACTAATACTCAAATGGACCATCAAAATAAAGTCTTACCACATTTTTATTCTACATTGAATTTGAATACATATTGGAAAGAAAATGTGAATCTGCTCACCTGCTTTTGCTCTGCAGGAGACAAAAGAATAACAGAAATGAGGATTAATACGGATCAGGTTTTTTATTAGTGCTGAGCAAAACATTAATCGTGATCATTTACACAGTTTGTTTTGACATGACATAAGTGTGTGTATATGCTGTGTATATTTATTTGGTATATATAAATACACACGTGCATGCATATATCTGAAAAAATCTTTATTTATTATTAGATTATTGCAAAGTCATTCATTCATTCATTCACTCATTTTCCTTTGGCTTAGTTCCTTATTCATCAGGGATGAACCGCTAATTTATCCAGCATATGTTTTACACATTGGATACCCTTCCAGCCGCAATCCAGTACTGGGAAACACCCATATACACTTATTCACACACACACACACTCATACATTACGGGCAATTTAGTTCATCAGTTCCACTATAGCGCATGTGTTTGGACTGTGAGGTAAACCGGAGCACCCAAAGGAAACCCACGCCAACACGGGGAGAACGAGCAAACTCCACACTGAAATATCAGTTGGCCCAGCTGGGACTCAAATCAGGGACCTTCTTACTGTGAGGCCACAGTGCTAACCACTGAGCCACCGTGTCGCCCCATTATTGCAGATTATATATGAATTTGAATATCTATGTAACAAATTTTTCTTGTGTATGTGTGTGTATTATATATACCTAATAAATATATAAAGTACAAGCGCATATTGTGCCAAAATCAACTTTTATTTTGGATGCAATTAATCACGATTAATCTTTGATAGCTGTAAATTGTATTTAAATTAATACACTTAAATGAAATGAAAATGAAAATTTATATTATATATTATAAAATAAACAGACAGACAGACAGACAGACACAGATAGATAGATATGTGCTCAGCATATATAAGTTCACCCCTCAAAAATCTCTCATTTAAATGAAAATTTTTTACTGGAAGCTATACAATATTATATTTGTGCAAATACATTAGATTAGTCAGTGCTAAAGCCAAATCTGGAGCTTCTCTAACAAAATAACCTATGATAACGGTCCAAAATTTGCAAAACAACATTTATGTTATGTTAAATGTTATGTTAAAACATAAAAAAATTGCAATAGTTAAATTGAGTTTTCTATTTCTAAAGGTGACTATTTCTATTTCTATTTTCAGTTCAGTGACCGAATATAAAAATAAATAATTTTTGTTGAAATTCACCAACAATTATTATCTATATTCAAAATAGGTTGAGTTCTCATTTATGCTTAGCACTGTATATATATATATATATATATATATATATATATATATATATATATATATATATATATATATATATCTGTGCTAATTTATATACACATTCTCAAATCTCTCTTTTAAATTAATATTTTAATAGGAAGCTAATAATATTATATTTGTGCATATACATAGTCAGTGCTGAAGCCAAATCTGGAGCTTCTCTAACAAAATAACTTCAAAAGTCCAAAACTAGTACAGCCAAATGTACATGTTATAGAAAACTATTAAATAGAAATTTAAAAAGATGAAAAAATCAAGGGAAGCAAAAAAAAAAAATGTAAAATTTAGTTGAAATTTTGTAGGTTGTTATTTATTTTTGCAATATTTTGCTTGAATTTAATTGTGTTATTGTTCAATTACCAGACATGTTATGTGACTAAAACATTATTTTAATAAATATATCTGTTTAATAAATCAGTTTTGTTCAAATGCACAAGAATACACTGCCTATGTTCACTGAGAAATTGAGAAAAATATTCATTTTTAAAATAGGGTGTACTCAATTATGCTGAGCTTTTTATATATATATATATATATATATATATATATATATATATATATATATATATATATATATATATATGAAACAAGAATATCAGTATAATAAACTGAGAAAACTTACGTGAATCACTCATGTTGATGATATTTTCAGATATGCAACACGACACTAATACTGCACAATACGAAACACAAACATAAGACTGATAAGATAATATGCCTAGGCATGCATGTTGCAGTTATTATTATTTTCTAATTGTTAAAGTTACATGAGATAAAATCCTTACTGTACATTTGACATCACAATGATTCGCCCTGCTGTGAAGCTTTTATTCTCTTTTTAATATTTCCCAAATGATTTATAACATTCAGGAAGTTTTTACGTTATTTCCTATAATATTTTTTCTTCTGGAGAAAGTCTTATTTGTTTTATTTTAGCTGGAATAAAAGCAGTTTTTTATTATATATATATATATATATAACCTAGTTAAGCCTTTAAATGTCACTTTAAGCTGACTACTAGTATACTAAAGAATATATAGTCTAATATGTGCTGTCATCATGGCAAAGATAAAAGAAATCAGTTATTAGAGATGACTTATTAAAACTATTATGTTTATGAATGCATTTGAAAAAAAAAATTCTCTCTGTTAAACAGCACATGGGAAGTAATTTTACAAGAATTCACCGTTCACAGGAGAGCGAATAATTTTGATTTCATCTGCATTGGATGATCTCTCAGTGTTGTGAGTCCTGCATTTATCAGGAGCCGCTGAATGAAATAGAGGAAAGTCTTACCTCTCGTCTGCTCTTGCTCGTCCGTGTGTTTGTGCACTTCACTGGCTTGTATTTATACTGGAGAGCCGCCCTCAGGTGACACACACACACACACACCTGCCCATCCGCACCCAAAGGAGGATCAACAAGTCTTAAAAGGTCATATTTGCAGGGAATACTCAGTGTGCTGAAAAAAAGTGTGTGGATTTCATGAATGACAAATAAAAAGATGCTTAAAATGTATGATGTAATCTATGATCTGCACTATAAGACATGCAGGGTTGTATTAATGCAATGTTGGGTCAAATGTAGACAAACCCAACATTGGGAGGATTTTTAACATTGAATTTTAATTATTCAAAACCTTTAATTCACTCTAAAACATGCTTTAACTCAATGCTGGGTCAAATATGAGCAAGCCCAACTGCTGGGTTTAAAAAGTGTCATTTAAAGTGCACTGAAAAACAATTTAACCCAACATTGGGATAATAGAAAAAACATTTAAAAGCATAAAAAAAATTTAACTCCACCAAAAAGAGCAATTTATATTTAATTAACCCAACATTGTGTTAATAATGTACAAAACAAATTAACCCCACGTGTTGGTTAATAAAAATAAATGCATTAAAAACAAAAAAGAAACAGTTATTTAAAATACATTTAATAAAATGTAATGCCACCAAAAGAGTAATTTATATTTAATTTATGCAGCATTGTGTTAATAATAAAAAAATAAAAAACTATTTAACCCAACAATAGGTTAATAAAAAACATTTTTAAAAAAATTTACGCCACCAAAAAGAGCAATTTATATTTAATTAACCCAATATTGTGTTAAAAATAAAAATAAAAAAAACACAAATTAACCCTACAATCAGTTATTAAAAAAACATTTTTAAAAAATGTAAAGCCACCAAAAAGAGTAATTTAAATTAAATTAACCCAGCATTGTGTTGATAATATACAAAATAAATAAAAAAAACTAATTAACCCAACGTGTGGGGGAATAAAAATAAATGCATTTTAAAAAAACAATAAAAAACTAATTAACCCAACAATCAGTTATTAAAAAACATTTAAGAAAATGTAACGCCATCAAAAAAAAAAAAATTATATTAAATTAACGCAGTATTGTGTTAGTAATAAAAAATAAAAAAAACTATTTAACCGAACAATGGGTTAATAAAAAACATGAAAAAAAAATTAACGCCACCAAAAAGAGCAACTTATATTAAATTAAGCCAACATTGTGTTAATAATAAAAAATGAAAAACAATTTAACCCAACAATGGGTTAATAAAAAACATCTAAAAAATGTAAAGCCACCAAATAGAGCAATTTATATTTAATTGACCCAACATTGTGTTAATATTATACAAAATAAAAAAAAATGAATTAATCCAACGTGTGGGTTAATAAAAATAAATGCATTTTAAAAAACAATAAAAAAAAAACAATTTAACCCAACAATCAGTTATTAAAAACATTTTTAAAAAATGTATAACGCCATAAAAAGAGTAATTTATATTTAATTTACCCAAAATTATGTTAATAATAAAACATGAAAAATAATTTAACCCAACAATGGGTTAATAAAAATAAAAGCATAATTTGTATTTAATTAACTCAAGATTGTGTTAATACATAATTTTTTTCTTTTTTAACAAATTAAAACAGCTTTTGGGGTAATTAAAAAAACATTTAATAAAATTCGCCAACATTGGGTTTGTCTATGTTTGACCTAATCTTGGGTTGTGACAACCCAACATTTTTTTCTTTTTGGATATATATTCTGACCTGTATTTATTCAGTTTTATAGAAATAATGTATTTTTAAATTATTAAGTGCCTAGTGGTGATGCATTTGGTAGTGCTGTTGCCTCACAGCAAGAAGTTGGCGTTTCTGTGTGGAGTTTGCATGTTCTCCATGTGTGGGTTTCCTCCGGGTGCTCCGGTTTCCCCCACAATCCAAATACATGTGGTGCAGGTAAATCTTACATTTTAATTCCCCTATAAAAAAAATAAAATAAAATAAAAAGTTGTTGTAACTGAATTTTGGGTCAAATATAGACAAAATCATCAACTGCTAGTGTTAAATTTAATTAACCAACAATAGGTTAATAAAAAACATCGAAAAAAATTAATTTAACCCCCACAAAAAAAGAGTAATTTGTTTAATTAACCCACATTGCGTTAATAAAAAAAGTTAATGATTTTTATTTACAATATGCCATATTTTAATATACAAGCTAATTATTCATGTTACTTTCAAAAAAATGCTGGTCTGCTTTAACCCAATGTTGGGTCAAATATGGACAAACCCGATTGGGTTAAAAAAGTGTCATCTAAATGTCATTTTAAAAAATAACCAAGTTTGGGTGAAACATGGACAAACTCAAAAGTTGGGTAAAAAAAATATTTAATTTAAATAAATAACCCAACATTGTGCTCTAAAAAGGTTGGGTTGTTGTACTCTAAAATATAAATGAGAAAAAAATCTAATATTTTAATTCACTCAAAAAAAGTTGCTGTAACTCGGGTCAATTATAGACAACTGAAGCAGCTGATCTTCATTTACACTGAGGAAGGGCAGCGGGTTGCTGAAAAACTACTGAGAGATTTCAGCTGCTGTCTGGGCTTTCACTGCCAAACTACGCCTTCCTTTCTTCATATGTTCAATACCTTTTCCCTGCATCATTTCATTTTATTATGCATAACTTCATTTGTAAACTAGATAGATTTGTTTTCTTTGCATATATGGATTTCTTTGGTTGCTATCAACATTTGGTGACAATGTCAGGTCAACGGCACCTTTAGAAATATGCTTTCTGAGAAAAATGGCAATGTTCAATACTTATTTACCTCACTGTATATACCAGCTGCATGTTAACGCAAATTTCTAATCAGCCAATCACATGGCAGCAGCTCGATGCATTTAGCCATGTGGACATGGTCAAGCTGATCTGCTGCTGTTCAAACCAAGCATCAGAATGGGGAAGAAAGGGGATTTATGTGACTTTGAACGTGACATGGTTGTTGATGCCAGACGGGCTGCTCTGAGTATTTCAGAAACTGCTGATCTACTGGGATTTTCATGCAAAACCATCTCTAGGGTTTACTGAGAATAATAAAACTAAGAGAATATATCCAGTGAGCGGCAGTTCTGTGGGCGCAAATGCCTTGTTGATGCCAGAGGTCAGAGGAGAATGGCCAGACTGGTTCCAGCTGATAGTAAGGCAACAGTAACTCAAATAAGCACTCGATACAACCGAGATCTGCAGAAGAGCATCTCTGAACACACAACACGTCCAACCTTGAGGCGGATGGGCTACAGCAGCAGAAGAGCACACCGGGTGCCGCTCCTGTCAGCTAAGAACAGGAAACTGAGGCTACAATTCACACAGACTCACCAAAACTGGACAATAGAAGATTGGAGAAACGTTGCTGCTCTGATGAGTCTCTATTTCTGCTCACACATTCAGATGCTCGGGTAGGAATTTGGCATCAACAACATGAAAGCATGGATCCATCCTGCCCTATATCAGCGGTTCAGGCTGGTGGTGGTGGTGTAATGGTGTGGGGGAGATTTTCTTGGCACACTTTGGGCTCATTAGTACTAATTGAGCATCGAGTCAACACCACAGCCTACCTGAGTATTGCTGCTGACCATGTCCATCCCTTTATGAGTACAGTGTCTCCATCTTCTGATGGCTACTTCCAGCAGGATAACGCACCATGTCATAAAGCGTGAATCATCTCTGACTGGTTTCTTGAACATGACGATGAGTTCACTGTACTCAAATGGCCTCCACAGTCACCAGATCTCAATCCAATTGAGTACCATTGGGATGTGGTGGAACAGGAGATTCGCTTCATGGATGTGCAGCCGACAAATCTGCAGCAACTGAGTGATGCGATCATGTCAATATGGAGCAAAATCTCTGAGGAATATTTCCAGTAGCTTGTTGAATCTCTGGCATGAAGGATTAAGGCACTTCTAGAGGCAAAAGGGGGTCCAAACTGGTACTAGTAAGGTGTACCTTATAAAATGGCCGGTGAGTGTAGATTTGTTTTATTTTTTACACACCAAAAAAAAAAAATAATAATAAAAGTAAATAAATAATTAAATATATATATATATATATATATATATATATATATATATATATATGTACACACACTAGGTTACCATAACCTAATGTTGGGTCAAATAAGGACAAATAAGGGTGTCATTTAAATTTAATTGTAATAAATCAACCCAACATTCTGTTTTTGTTCATGGTTGACCCAACATTGGGTTAGGTTATCTAATTACCATTAGATTAACAACCCAGCATTTCTTTAGAGTGCACCTAACATGCTTTCTGTGCATAAAAAATCCAACGCAGACAGTCAAGTGTGCCGTCTGTGACGCATCGACATGCAGGTTTGCTTCTAAATGTTCAGGTGTAGCTGCTGCTCGTTGTCCGCCTGCACAGGAATGTTTTCGTCTCATTCATACAGTCTGAGTAAAGAAACGCCCAACATATTTTGGCAGATCTGCAGAAACAGATAGTTGAAGGAATCATAATTATACACGGGCTCCGTTTCTGCTCCATTTCACAAACCAGAAAGTCTGCAAAAGTCTCGAGTTTACATGAGGAGAAAAATACTGACAACACCTTTTATTCATTCACCTTTCATAATGCATGGATGCTGACTGATGATAGAGCCCAGGGCATCACGGTGGTGCAATGAGTTGCAGGATCGCCTCACAGCAAGAAGATCGCTGGTTCGAGCCTCGCCTTGGTCAATTGGCATTTTTGTGTGGAGTTTGCATGTTCTCCAGGTGTTGGCGTGGGTTTCCTCCGGGTGCTCCGGTTTTCCACACAGGCTCAAGTTTACATGAGGATATACTGTAGTATAGGTGAATTGGGTGGGCTGAATTGTCCGTAGTGTATGTGTGTGATTGAGTGTGTTTCCCAGTGATGGGTTGCAGCTGGAAGGGCATGCGCTGTGTAAAACATATGCTGGAAAAGTTGGCGGTTCATTCCGCTGTGGCGACCCCAGATTAATAAGGGACTAAGCTGGAGTAAATGAATGAATGAATGCTAAAGCCCAGA